TTCTGAGCTGCATTTGATATATTTCCCCAAATATTGTTGTTACAGAGTGCATATTACGGCTGCGGAGGACAAAAATAACAAATTGAATGAACAATATATATGGGAGCTATAGCTATATCTGAACCGATTTCGATAAAATTTGGCATACTTATTTTCAGTCCTAATTTTGTTGTATGTGCAAAATTCCATACTATTCGGGCTGACGTTTGGTGCACAATAAAATGCAAATCGAACGAAGATATATATGGGAGCTATATCTAAATTTTCACCGATTATCTCCAATTTCAATAGGGTTCGTCCTTGGGCCAAACAAATGTTGTTTGAAATCGGATAATAAATGCGACCTGCATTTTGTTCACAAGAACGAACGGACAGACGGACTGACATGCATAAATCAACTCAGAAAGTGGTTCTATGCAGATCATCAAAAGGAACTATGGGTCTATCCCGTTTCCTTTTGCCTGTTACAAACAAATGCACAAAGACATAATATTGGTCCACTCTATCAAGTACCTCCCCCAAAAAGGCTCTTCGAATTTCACACATTCCAATATTTTTATTGACGCAAGATCTGGTGCTAAGATGGAATATATCGGTCCACTCTTTCCGGTAGATCCACCATAAAGGTTCAAAATTTGGAATAACCAAAACGTGAATAAAATCCGAAACAAGCATTAGACTCTCTTTATATTTCACACATCCCATTATTTCTATTAAAACAATATTTGTTGTGAAGATGGAATATATCGGTCCACTCATTCTGGCGCAACATAAATCAAAGGCTCAAAATTTTGAATGTCCATGAAGCTCATAAAATGCGAATTAACATCCGAGTCTATTCAGACTTGGTGCATCTCAATATTTTCATCAACGCAAGATCTGCTATAAAGGTGGTAGAGATGTGACCATTTCATCTGGTACATCTCCACATACGGTTCAAGTTTTCGATGGACAAGATGCTCAAAGAAAGCGAAATAAATGATATATATCTGCGAACCCCTTCTGATAGCTCACCCATAAAGAGCCACTATTTCAATACTTTTATCTGCCAAGACAAGATCTGTCGTGAAAATGATATATATCCCACAAAGGATCACAATTTTCAAACTTGCGAAACATATTAGCAACTCTTTACAACTTGATATAACCAAATATTTCTCTCAACCTGATATGAATATGAAATTTTTCGGAATTTATGATTTCGCAAAAAATTGGATATAAATCTTTGATTTTCTTGTAACTTCGCCCATACCAATATTTTTATCTGAATTAGATGAAGTATGAAAATGGAATACTTCGGTCGACAATAACTGGTACCTCACGCACATTTTAACATTTTTTAAAACTTATCACATGTCTCATATAAAGTGAAGAAAAAAGTCGATATAGTCCATACCTGGCACGTAGCAATATTTATATCATACCACAATAATAACACAAGTCAAAATATATTTAAAAAATCGAACATAGCCTGAGGGCTGAGGACATAGACATCTGTCGGCAAACCCGGCCGATACTTTTTAACTTGTTATTTCTCTTCTTGACAAACTTAATATTATGACATGTCCATCTCTGTCTTATGTTCTTAAATAATGACATGTTTATGTCAGAATTAAAAAAAAATCCCCCAAAAAATATGGAGAAATTTTCTGACCCCTTTAACCCAAATCAATTTAAATTTGGTGTTAGATATTTTTTATGTCACCCTTAGCATTATTTCCCTCATTTTTTGCTCCCCACCTATCTTTCCAGCTATCTATTTGCCCCCGCTTAAATCCGAAACTATTGCCACGCAGTAAAAAAACTTAAAAAAAAAATTGCAACAGCAATCATTGCTAAGCGCTCCATAACTTTGATTTTTCTTGTCAAAATCTTTCAAGAGAAAAAGAAGAAGGAGAAAGAAAAAGTACTTGAAAGCTCTCATGCGTAGCACAACTGTCACACACTCAGTCAGTCAGTCACTCACAGCTGTCAAATTGTAACAAGCGACTTGTTCTGGAGCAAAAAAAAAAAAAGAAAACTTTCCACCGATGGCATTGTTTTAAATTGCAAGTTTTAGTTGCACTTGTTTCATTCACGTACAATTTACTTTCACTGGCTGTAGTTTTTTTTTTTTTGCTTTGCTTTAGTTTTCAAAGTAAAGTTTTGTAGATTGAGGGGGATTTTATGGTGGTGATGGCGAGACCTTGGGGTGGATGTTTGCGAGCGGAGATAATAATTTGGTGAATTTACATAAGAATTGAACTATAGGCAAGCTACAGCTACTAGCGAAGAATTATTTATCCGAGTCTTCGTAATTTAAATGTTGGTATACTGCACACATTTCAGCGCAACATCAGTGCAATCCTCAAAATAATTTTTTATACCCTCCACCATACCTAGTATGGAGTGTATATTAAGTTCGTCATTCCGTTTGTAACTCATCGAAATAATAATTTTAGACACAACAAAGTATCCTGATCAGCATAAAATTCTAAGACGATTTAGCCCTGTCCCTTCGTCCGTCTGTCTGTCGGTCTATCCGTCTGCTTGTCTGTTGTATTCACGCTAAAGTCAAAACGAATTAAGAAAGGAAGCTAAAATTTTGCACTGATCTGTCTTTTGTCTGTAGGTCAAATTCGAAGACGGGCTATATCGGTCCACGATATCGTATAGCCCCCATATAACGGTACCTCCGGTATTCGATATTTTGATGATTTTAATCACATTTTTCAATGGAATTGGCTTAAAATCCACATAAGGAGTTCCTTCAGTGTACCTAACCCCCTGATAGATAATTATTTACATAGGTTCACGATATCGTGTATCCCCCATATAGCCGTACCTCCCGACATACAGAATTTTTATGATTTTAGACACATTTTTTAATGGAATTGTATGAAATTCAAAAATTTGCTTATCCAGAATTACGTCTTCGAATAGCCCCATATAAAGGTTTTCATTTCAGCTGTATTTTTCGACGGAATTTTTTGGAAATTTTTCAAATTCTCTACGAATGGTGGAGGGTATTAAAAAGTTCGACCCAACCGAACTTAGCTGCTTTCTTGCTTGTTTTTAATGTTTTAAAATATTATTTAAATCTTTATTATTAAAAGAGTAAAGTAATTGACTGACTGACTGATTGACTGACTTAACGATTTATCAACGTCGAGACGGCTGAAGCTAAAATCTTGAAATTTTGGGTGAGGATCACTACTGGTCCGAAGCGGTCAGATTTTTGGATTTGAATTTTTGGAAATCCGAACAGGAACGGCACGAAAAGTTTAAAAAGGTATTAAATATAGTACCCCTTGTATTTGAGGAATAAGTAGAAGGGTTCTACAATTTTGAACAAGGGTCATTGATGAAGTGTATGATAGGTGTATCAAAGGGTTTTTAGATATTCTTACTATAAGTGTACGAAAAGTACTAAAATCTACTGCATTTGGTACCATTTCATATCATGTGAACGATTAGAGCTAAAAACTTGAAACTTGGAATGGGAATTGAGGAGTAGAGTCGGAGTAAGAGTACTAAAACGGTACTAAATTTAGTACAATTTGAATTTGGAGAAACGATTGCAGCTGGAATCCTGAAATTAAAAATTAACATTACTGGCGGTGGAGGTAATTTTCGAAATTTGTACTTATGTGCACGAAAATGTATTAACCCTGGTACAATTTCGATTTGGGTGAACCGATAGAGCTGGAATTCTGAAATTTAGAAAAACGATTGCTATTGCATTGTAGGACTGAGGAATGTAGGAACTTTTGAAAATCCGTACTTATGTGCACTAGATGGTTCTAAAGTTGGTACAATTTAAATTTTGGGAGAAGTTGGAAGAGTTCGAACCCCAAAAGTTGGAAACAAGATTTCTATTGGATTGTATGACATTTATTATAAAAATTTGTACTTAAGTCTACTAAATGGTACTAAATTTGGTACAATCTGGATTTGGGTGAACCGATAGAGTTGGTATCCTGAAAATTGGTAAAAAGATTACTGTCGGAGTAAAAAACCGGAAATGGAAAAAACTTGAAAAGTCTGAAAATTTATTTCGATTGATCTATAAATTTGGCCAAACTGAATAAACTAATCAATAATATACCCTTGGACATGACGGGGGGAAAAGTAGAAATTTTTTCATATCTATAGATTTTGCTTCTGGGTAGATAAAACAAGTCAACTCTTCCATCAAATGTAAACACCTGTCTACTTCCGTATTTAAATCTTCAACTTGTGTCTCAACCCCATTATCGATTTCCATTTGTAAAAGGACAGATATGTTTAGAGAATTTACACCTAAGCCAGGTGTTGCCCTCGCTGGTGATAGACACGCAAACTTTTACACACACACAAACACACTTTGCATTAATGTTTTGGGAGTTAAGGCAATGGAAACTTTTTCAATGTTGAATAGAGAATAGAGAGAAAGAGACTGAGAAAGAAAAAACAAAAACAACACCATCAGGACAACAATTGGAACAATTATGTTTTATTGTGAGCTGTCGTAAAGTTTTGTTGTTTTGCTGATTTTTTCTTATCCTCTCCCATCTTCATACCGACCCTCTCTGCCCCTACAGTGGCAACTAAACCCTTCCGTAGTTAGTTGTTAACAAAAATTGTCCCTGACAATCACAAGGACATTGAAATCATCCAGGGATTTCCACACAAGTTCAAATGTTAATTGATTTGGAATTTTTGCGGAAAAAGTTTTTCATTTTAACGCAATTTTTGTGAGACAATTTCATTTGATTAGAGGGTGATGAAGACAATGATGATGTGACATGTCGACGAAGATGGCAAATTGTGGGAATTTGGAGAGTTCAGTCTTCAGCTGAAAAGGATTGAAGATGAAACGAATATGCGTATTTATGTTTCCGGGAAAACGTATGTGTGTAGATATGTAAATGTGCTTGTCATGAGATGTTTCTCATGAGATATTGCGTCGCGAAAGATGAGCTTAGCGAGCAAGTTATAAAATTTCAAGTGTTTATTGTTTAATTCTTTGGTTTACTTACATTTATAATCCGATTCTTAGAATTTCATCGATGTCATCGTGTGTTTAATTATTTGAGAATCTGAAAATAAGAGGAAATATCTTAAATTAAATTTGTTTAAATGTAACAAGTAGATGAGGTTTAGAATTTGTAGTTCATATTTTGAATAAATTCGGAATATTGTTGCTAGAAAGAAACCAGTAAAAGTAGGGCTGGACGACTATATGATACCCTTCACTTCTATACGTATTTAGTAGAGCTCAGGTAACAAAAAAAAAAAAATTAGTTTACTGCGATAAGGATTATATTAAAACAATAAAGAAAGTCTTAAAGTCGGGAGGGGACGACTCTATGATACCCTACACCACTTTGCATATCTAGTAGAGCTTCACATAACAATTAAAAGTTTTATGGGAGAATTAAATCATACCTTCTATTATTATGATTATAATTTAAAGTTCAAAGGACTAAATACGACGAGACATTTGTATATTTTCAATTCGGGCTTGTATTGTCCATTTGATACCCTAAATGTTGACCAATTGCTATAGGGTTCGTCCATGGGCCAAACAAATAATTTGCGCAAAATTTAATTTTGATCGGTCAATAAATGCGACCTGTACTTTGTTTGCAAAAATACATGGACAGACAGACGGACGGACATGCATAAATCGACTCAGAATGTGATTCCTTGCAGATCTTCAAGTATTGGTCTATTTCGTTACCTTTGGCCTGTTGGGAGCTTTATCCAAATCTAATTAGGTCTCGATAAAATTTGACAGAGGTATTTTTAGAAGATATCTGATATCTGGACCAACTGTCATTGATGTGAAGTGCACATTACGAATGTGATGGACTTAAAACCTAAAATCGGATGAAACATATATATGGTGCTATAGCTATATCTCAGCCGATTTCCATAATTCCGAATTTGTTTTACTTGCTTCTAGACCGAATTCGGTGGGATGGACCAAAATACAGGTCATGTGCACAATTAATCCGATATTGGTTGAAGGTATATATGGTAGCTATATCCAAATTTGAACCGATTCTCACAAATTTCAATAGCTTTCGGCCTTGGGCCAAACAAATATTGTTATAAAGGATAATAAATACGACCTGAATGTTGTTCACAAAAACATGTACAGATGGACAGACATGCATAAACCGACTCGGAAAGTGAATCTATGAAGATCCTCAAAAGTAACTTTGGGTCTATTTCGCACCCTTCTCCATGTTACAAACAAATGCACAAAGTAATAACGCTCTTACCACTTCAAAGTCATTTCTGAAGACTACTTTTCGTGTTATCTTATTTCCAACAAAAACAATAATTATACCCTCCGCCATATGGCTACAGAGGGTATATATTATTTGATACGGCCAAAACGTGCCTAGTCGAAATAACGGTTTTAGACCCTAGGTCTCTTTGGACCAAATCCGTTTCAGAACATTTGGAGTTGATCTAGCGATGTCCGTCCGCCCGTCCATCTGTCTGGTTGGATAGTGCACACGATTACCCTCGAAGGGAGTATCCGTTTTGGTCCAAACTGGGTACATCGTAATATTTTTGCCAAACGTAGATCGAGTTCGGAGATGGACATTATCGGTCCACACCTTCTGGTACCTTCCCCACAAAAAGTCGAAATTTTAAAAAAATATATTCTTTGCACAGAGAGTAAAAAGATAATCCAATTTTGCTCCACCTTTGCAAATCCTAATATTTGTGTCAGTTATAGGTCAGATGCAAAAATGGACAATTTCGGTTCACTCCATCAAGTACCTCCTCCACAAAAGGTTAACATTTTTTCTGATTGTCTTCAAATTTCACACTTGCCAACATTTGTATTAACCCAAGGTCTGGCGTTAATATGAAACATATCGGTCTACTCCTTCGGGTACCTCCCCCACAAAAGGTTGACATTTTAAAAGAATATATTTTCTGCACAGAAAGAGAAACGATAACTTTGCAAATCCTAATACTTACGTCAGTGCTAGGTCGGGTGGGAAAATGGACAATATCGGCCCACTTCTTCAAGTACTTATAATCATATTTATTTAGGTCCGATACGAAATGGTCAATATTGGGCTATTCCTTCGGAACCTACGTCATATAGGGTCAACAATTTGAATGATCAAAACAGAAGTCAATATTTAAATAATCGAACATTGGCTGAAGGTATACATCTGTCGGCAAAACCGACTAATACTTTTGAACTAGTTTTTATTTAATTTTTAGCACATTTTAGTACTTTTCGTACCCGTATAGTACGAATTGCCAACAACCCAACCTTATCACGCAATTACGCACCAGGACCCAGTCTGACAGTAAACTGTGCCATTTAGTTATTTTCGTACTCTTAAAGTATGAATTCCCACAAATACTGTTTCCTCTCAAAAATCCCTTTTAACTCACTCCGAAGTAATCCTCATGTAAAATTTCAAAATTATTTCTCTCCCAAAAATGACCCTCTTGCAATATGTCTATCTTTTTTTGATCGCTCAGCAACAAAGTTTCATCACTTTTTTCTTTACTTTTCGTACCCTTTAATGAATAAAATACCTTCAGAGGTAATTTTGTTCATTGAAGAAGGTCTTCCATCTATAACAGAATGCCAAGTGTAATAGAAGACCTCCGGATGATGTTCCACATAGAAGACCTCCAGAAGATCTACTAGCTATAAAGGATCTTTAAAGGGTCTTACATTTGTAGAAGTTCTTCAAAGGAACTTTAATTTATGGAAGTCTTTCAAAGGACCTCTCATCTAAAGGAGACAGTAAAGGGTCCTTAGGTCGTAATTAATTCCCAGCCATAAGAGATCTCCAGAAGATCTGAAGACCTCCTGAGAACCTTTTGTCTTCACAAGACCACAAATAGGTTTAATATCAATAGATGAAAGTCTTCCACCAATAGAATGCCTCATGAGTATCATATGCCAATACCTACCACAAACTGACTTTATTTTGGTTCTAGAATTTATCTCGTGTTTTATAGAAGACTCCAAGAGGGTCTTGTTGCTATAGTATTTAAGCAGGTACTTCGATTAATTTCTGGAATTTCCCAAATTACTTTCTACCTATAAAGGTAGCTATGAATTCCTCCAAACAGTCTTTTAGCTGTAGAAGACCCCAGATGATTTTTTCGACTATATAATTTCTCCAGATGTTTTAACATCTGAAGAAGGCAATTACAAATTCTCAAAGGAGTTTTTAGCTTGAAGTTCTCCAAACGGTCTTGCGTGGTTAGAAGATCTCAAGGGGGATTTGCAAAAGATCCTCTCATAATTTATAAAATATCTTAAAGCATTTCCACCTATAGAAGACCTCCTGATGGCCTTAGAGCTACAGAAGTTCTTCAGAAGTAATTTTTATCTATAGAGGATATTGTTTAACTCTTCCATTTAAAGAAGTTCAGCAGATATTTTTTAATCGATAGAAGAACTTTAAGAATCATTTTTGAATCACCTGAGAGTTTTGCATCTATAGACAGAAGATCTTCTATCATTTGTGGAATTCTAGAAGGTTTCCTGTCCATACCATAGATCTTTTCCCCATGAAAAGCCTTCTGATATCGTCCTACGTAAGAAGACCAGCAAATTCGTTTCTTGCTATGGTGGACCATTAGAAAGATACCTTCCAATGGTCTACCATAGCCAGTAGAAGATCTAAAGCAGTTCTTCCTTTTGCAGTAGGTGCACAGAAAGGCTTTTAATAACCAAATACATCCAAATGGTCATTATAATGTCCCCTATATTTGGAAGACCCTTAGAAGTCTTTCAGTCTACATGAGGCCTTCAGATGGTGTTCTATTTATCCACAGACATATCAAAATTCAACGCATATATTCGAATTCCAATATTAGACATTTCTTAATTTAATGTCCCTAATTTTTATATGAAACAATGACACTTCAGATTCTTTCAACATTTAACTTAAAATTTTTAAATTAAGAAATCAGCGGAATCTGATTTCTCAAAAAGCTGTCTGTTAAAATGGCCAATTTTTTTTTTTTGAAAATTTATAAATTCGAATTTTTGGGTTCTCTTTACATAAATGAACCTTTTCTAGACTTTTGGCTAGAGAAACCTCTAGGTATCAAAATTTATATTAACTTTGTTACAAATTAAGCTTTTCTAGATTTCCTGGAGAAAAATAATTTATTTAAATATCTTGATTACAAAAATGAAGATAACACTTTTTAAGTTGCTCTGCTTTGCTGTCATTGTACCTGAAGAGCTTCCGTTACGTTTTTTTATTCTGACGATATAAGAGTGTGTTCCATATCTGCCCGCAGTCAAGGATTACATGTTAAAACCCAAAGAGCATTTCTGCGCCAAATCTCAAGAACCCTTAAAATTTACTTTACATTTTTTTGTTGTTGCTTTCGCTTTCGATTGGCAGATGTTAGAGTGTAGTTGAGATTTTTGCATGTTGTTGACATAGCCAAGTATCTGAAAGCCACCAACAGACATAAAAACACACACCCATATGCTGCCTAAGCAGATAAACATGTTAATGCTTTTCAATCTCACTTTTAGATCTCCACGAAAAATCTTGAACATCCATCAGCAGCAGCAGCTGCGGCAGCAGTTCAACATGAGTCAGGACATGTCGAAACTGAAGTAAAACCCGAAATACGCCATAAACGTTCCCAGCTGGATATGGGTACGGCAGCAGCTGGCTTGTTTGGTGCAGCTGGCACCACCGGTGAATTAAAGGATTTCAATGAGTTTCTCGAGGAGTTGGGTGATAATGCCATTTTGCAATCGTCGTTGATGCCGCAATCACAGGAAGCCATCGATGTTGAGAATATGTCGCCATTGGTTTACTACATGCTGTTGCAGAAGATTAAACAATGTAAGGGAAGAGAGAGACATACTCGTACATACATACAAACATACACACATACACATTTATATATGAAATAGTCCATTTATTTTATTATTTTCATTTATTAAAAAAAAATATGACATTTTCAATTGTTTTCCTTGTCGTTTCATTGTTCGCTGTTAATAGTGCAAAACAGTGAATGGCAAATGCCTACAAGACGCACCCCACGCCTGGGCCGCAGTATTGATTACCA